CATCCAAATGACCTTGGCGGTTTAGCTTTAGGACTTCATCAAGTAAGCGCAGTACGTAAGCACTATTATCCGGATTCGGATGCCCCATCCTAACCGAGCTTTGACAAGGGATGGGCACAATCGTAACGCCTGCATCTGGGTTCCTGAACCATTCGCTAAATGATGAAAGCAGTCCCACCACCTCAGCAGCCTGTGATAAAACACGCTCATCACCATAAATCTGTAACGCCAGCCGATAGGGTAAACTTAAAGATAAGATCGATTGCATCACTTGATTGGCGGCCTGCAGACTCACCTCAGGGCCAATGCCACTGGGTTCACCCGAAGTAATACCCAATCGAATCAATGGCTTCATGGCAATGTTTTTAAATTGACACGATATTCCACGTAAGAGGTATCTCGCAAATCTTTGAGCCAGTTTTGAGCTACTTCTTGCTCTTTCATTTGTTCGAGGGCTTTTTTGGCAATAGAGCGCTGCTCAGCTTTACTCGCTTGAGCTTCACGTTTCCCTGTCACTTGCACAATGTGCCAGCCAAAGCGTGTTTTAAAAGGTGGGCTCACCTGCCCCACGGGAGTATTATTCATGGCTTCTTCAAATTCACCCACCATCGTCCCTGAGGTCACCCACCCCAAATAACCACCACTCGCTGCTGAACCAGGATCCTCAGAATAAACACGAGCCATTTCATCGAACAAGCCCTTGTTCTCTGAATTTAAGACTTGTGTTCGAATCGAATCCAAACGTGCATGCAAATCTTGATCAATCACTTGATTGGTATCCCGTAATAAAATATGACGAGCTTCCACTTGTGGGATCTGAATGGCCGGCTCTCCAGGAGCTTTTCTACTGTCCATCAATCTCAGCACATGAAATCCCTTTGGGCTTTGCACAATTTGATCGGAATAGCTGCCACTATTGAGCTGTGTTACCACATTTGCAAAAACAGTCGGAATTCGGTCAGTTTGTCGATAACCCAAATCTTCTACTGCCACTAACGGGTCATGAACAACCAATTCACCAATATCTTCATTGGCTTTAGCTTTAGCTAAAATACTTTGCGCCTTAATTTGGGCACTGGCAAAATCAGCCTNAACATAGGCCGTAGCCTGCCCCAATTTTTGATCATGTTTCCAGCTATAAGCATATCGATTGGGCTTTTTATCATGCTGGCGGTCGTGAATATACTCACCAAATAATTGACCCTCATACTGTTTTTCTAAGTACCGAAACTCTCCACCGACCTGCAAACCCCGCTTACCTAAAATGCGTGGATATATCGTCACATCTCGGTTAGGTGCAATTGCGTAGTATAAAGGTTGGCGCACATCGATACCTGTACGCGAACTCACACCAATCGTGGGCGGCAATAAACCACTTTGATTCTGATCATTAATCGGGAAACTCAAATACGGCGTGGCGAGCAGCGGAACACCCAAGAACACTAAAGTCGCATTTTTTGCCTTGCCAGACTCTCGGTATTGGTCAATGGTTAAATGATCGACTTTTAAATACCAATCAGGACGTTGGTGCTCGGCTTCGCAATGGCAAGTCGTATAAATGGTATCACGCATCTCGATTTGGCCATCAGTGGGCGTGGCAACCTTTCTTGCCATTCCATGCCCAAGGGGGGCTTTAAGTTGATAGTGCATATTATCAAAGCTACTCAAATAGCGATCGACATTGATCTGCGCCTTATCCCCACCAAACGTATGCCCAGCGTAGTTTACCTGTACCCGCCCTGTGGCACGGACTTCGCCCGTTTTCTGGTCAAACTCAATCCGATCCCCTTTTACCTGAGTGTCATTTTTCTCTAGCATCGCTTGCCCAGTCAAGACGAGTTGATTATCTAGTTGCCCAATGATATCATCCGCTTCTATTTGAATTTCATCATTTCCTGGGAAGGTATTCCCTTTAGAAGATTGATCAAAAACGACTTTTTGCAAAACTTCGATTGGATCTTTAGGCACAGCATTGGTCAAGGCGTTCTGCGCAAAAGCATTTGAGGTGACAGGCAGAGTCAGACATACTCCGTAAAAAGTATAACCCCTTACAACTCGAACAATGGCCTGTAACTGCATAGGCGGCAAAGAACGTAAAACGTTTTTTTCAAAAAATAAATAAAAATCCATGGGTTAACAATAAAAAGTGGACACTATCACCATAAAAAACCATCACAACAGCTTAAACCCATATCCTACCGAATCGCATCCTTGGTTATTGCGATACCTATTATTTATCAAAGTATTACGCTGTTGGCGACAAAACAAGGCTGTAAGGTGGCTAGGCATCATGATAACATCGTACTTTGTAGAAAATGTCTATTGAGTCTTGTGATTGATCGCTTCACAATATTCCCCATTATGGGTTAAGTGGAACGGTGCTCACCTAATCTCAATTTCCGATCCATCGTATCATTTGTCACGCTTCCTAGCCTTACTATAGTCATGTCATTGTCGTCATTTCGTTGACACGATGGATCGGAAAATGGAATAAGCAGGCTAAGCAAAATGGACCGCACGATATTACGGCAAAATCCATTAATACCGTGTTTGCCGTCCTCCTGTCTAAAGTAATACCCCACTTCGGTGCGCCCAGCATCAGAGGCTTTGCTTGTGATCTAAGGAAAACGGTCTTGCCTAAAGGCAATTGTGCTATTATACGGGCTTTCCAATGGTTGATGCCGATTCTCTTCAAAGTATTGCGTTAAATGGTGACGAAGTCATTTCTAATATGGCTAGGAGCCATGACAAAGGGGGGCTTCGAAAGAGCTTGTTATGAACTATAGTGAAATTTTTTATTCTTTTATCGCTTGCCTATGAGCACATTTTTGATTTCAACCCTTCCCACCGATCTTCAACAAGATACCCGCGTGATCCAATTGTGCCAATGGTTATCACAAGAAAATCGATATGATTTGGATTTCGAGACTTTTTCGATCGCTTCAGCCGATGCCAGTTTTCGGCGTTATTTTCGCATTTGGGATGTCCAAGGAAAAAGTTACATCGCCATGGATGCGCCGCCTCAACACTACTCTTTGATGCCTTTTATCACGGTTTGCAAACTGTTTGGGCAATCTGGCATGAGTGTCCCCACCATTTATTTAGATCATCATGACGATGGTTTTATGCTTATCGAAGATTTGGGGACGACCACCTACGCGGACGCACTATCGAGTGAAACGGCAGATGATCTCTACACCAAAGCAAGCAATAGTTTGATTTTGCTGCAGCAGGCAAGTAAACCGAATATATTGCCAATATATGATCATGCTGTCCTAATGCGCGAGATGAGGCTTTTTGATGAATGGTATGTAACGCAACACAAACAGATTATTTTGAGTGATGCCGAAAAAGCCATGCTCGAGCAACAATATTCCCTAATTGCACAATACAATTTGAGCCAACCACAAGGATATGTTCATCGCGATTTCCACTGCCGTAACCTGATGGTCTGTGGGGACAAAACCCCCGGTGTTATCGATTTTCAAGATGCCCTGTATGGTCCGATCACCTACGATATTGCTTCGCTCTGGAGGGATGCCTATGTACATTGGGACGAAGAACGCCAAATTGACTGGGTTATTCGGTTTTGGGAGAAAGCGCGTGCGGCAAAGCTGCCCGTACGTACGGATTTTGGCGAATTTTACCGTGATTTTGAATGGATGGGTTTACAAAGGCATCTCAAGGTATTAGGCATTTTTAGTCGCCTATCCATCCGAGACAACAAACACGGCTACTTAAATGATCTCCCCCTAGTAGAGTCCTATGTTTTTCAGGTCATTCATCGGTATAGTGAATTAACCCCGCTGGCCCATTTCTTTGATAAGCACCAATGGGTTTCCACGACGACACATTTTACCTTCTAATCCTCCTTATTTCACTTTTTATTCTATGAAAGCAATGATTTTAGCTGCGGGTCGTGGCGAAAGAATGCGTCCATTGACCGATAAAACTCCCAAGCCCATGTTGTGTATCAACGATAAACCATTAATTGTGTGGCACATTGAAGCTTTATCTCGCGCAGGGGTTACAGAGTTGGTGATCAACCATGCTTGGCTGGGAGACGTAATTGAGGCTGGATTAGGCGATGGGTCAACTTGGGGTGTCAACATCGTTTATTCCTCCGAGTCCGAAGCACTAGAGACCGCTGGGGGTATCACCACCGCCTTACCGCTTTTAACACGGAACGCACCTGAACATGCGCCTTTTTTTGTTATTAATGGAGATGTGTTTTGTCCCGAATTTCAATATAACGAGATAGTCGAGCAAGCGCAACTACTTGAAAAAAGCCCTGACCTTGCTCATTTGTACCTTGTTTCAAACCCTAGCCACCTTACAGCCTTGTTTTGTCGCCAACAGCGTAATACTTTGATAAATAATAGGTATCGCAATAACCAAGGATGCGATTCGGTAGGATATGGGTTTAAGCTGTTGTGATGGTTTTTTATGGTGATAGTGTCCACTTTTTATTGTTAACCCATGGATTTTTATTTATTTTTTGAAAAAAACGTTTTACGTTCTTTGCCGCCTATGCAGTTACAGGCCATTGTTCGAGTTGTAAGGGGTTATACTTTTTACGGAGTATGTCTGACTCTGCCTTTGCTTAATGCAGAATGATCGAAATAACTATAATCGGCCAACATTTTCCACTTTAACCGGTCATTCAAGAAAGCCTCTTTGTAACGCCATTGCAATTGTAACGGGCGTTCATAAGGTTCACTAGCAGGCTTTAGGTACTGAAATTTCTGCATACGAGCCAGTAAGGTAGATTTTTCGGTTTGATAGCGCACACCAGCAGTTTTTGGAAATACCTTTTGTGTACTATCTGCCAAGCCGTAAGAAAAATCACTGGGATAGTCATCATCGGATACGCCACTCAGATCAACATAGGCCGTAGCCTGCCCCATTTTTGCCATGTTGTCTTGCATTTGCTGGGCCTGCTTCATTAAGCCGGCCAATTGGTTTTTCATCATAAAATCATTCCTTTGTAAAAAAATAGCTCAACGAATCACCTCAACAGAGTTCGGGACAACGCTAGCGGGCAGCTCATTAATAAGGGTTTTAACGATCGGGTGTTCTGATAATGAATGAGTGGCTTTTTCAATGGCCTGAGCCTTTTCCTGTGCCTTAACCAATGCCGGGGTGTTTTTAACGGCACCGGTTTGAAGCTTAACCTTGATGGGGCGTTTAAAATATTGACTTAAAGCAAGTTCTAATTTTTGGCTGACGGTGGGCATGGTATTGGATAGGGCACTTTTTAAGGTGATGCTATCTCGGTCATAGGTCACGAGCTCACTTTGCAAAGCTAATTGCTTGCTCATTCCCGTTAAAACCAGGCGCTCGGTTAAACCTTGCCAGTCCCCATTAAAAGTGGCCACGGACTGCGTCCCTTCTAGCCCAAAAGTCTCCATAGGGTCTGGTCCGAGCGGTGGCACTGAAGCGGTGGCACCATCTTCTGTTATCCCGATTTTTTGGCTAATCTGAACTTTTTCAGTAGTTTTTACAGCATTATGAGATATATTTGCGCTCAAGCTACTGCTAACCCCATTGGCGAGATGCACCCTTTCTGTTTCTTTCGTGGGCAATACCTCGGGTACAACCACTCGGTTTTGCGCTTGTGCAACAGGGAGCACCAATGGCATACTCCTAGCTTGGCTTTTGTCTGGACGTCTTAATTTTTCCGATTCACGACGGATGCCCGCGCTAGTTGTTGTCGGTGATTGGCTCGGTTGGGTAGGCTCAGCGGTCGTGACATCTGTAAGTGGCGCAAAAGCTAACATTCGCAATAAGGCCATCGTGAATCCCGTAAACTCATCAGGTGCTAAAGCAATTTCTCGCTGAGCATAAGTCGCAATTTGGTAATACAACTGCAATTGTTCTGGCAGAAAAAATTTTGATAATTCATCGAGTTGCGCAACATCAATCAGTCCATCGTCAAGACTTGTAGGGCTTTGCTGGTACCAAGCAATTTGATGTAACAGTAAGGCTAGATTGCCCATTGCTCCTTGCATCGATAAACCACGACTTTCAATCTCTTTAGCTAATTGATACACTTGTACACCATCTTTGTAGAAAAGTGCCTTCAATAAGGTCATCATATAGGACTGGTCTAAAGTCCCTAGCATGGTCTCGACTTCTGTAGTCGCAATCGATTGATTACCGTAAGCAATGGCTTGATCCGTTAACGACAAAGCATCTCGCACACTCCCTTGCGCCGATTTAGCGATTAAACGCAATGCATTGTCTTCAAAAGCAATATTCTCTTGCTTCAGAATGTTTTGTAGGTGCATCAAAATCTGTGGTGCGGGCAAAAGCTTTAAGTTAAATTGTAAACAGCGCGACAACACCGTCACGGGGATTTTTTGGGGGTCCGTGGTCGCCAAAATAAATTTAACGTGCTCAGGTGGCTCTTCGAGGGTTTTGAGCATGGTATTAAAAGCATGATTGGTGAGCATATGAACCTCATCAATCATATACACTTTGTAACGCCCTATGGCAGGGGCATATACCGCTTTTTCTATCAACTGTGACATTTCATCAACGCCACGGTTTGAGGCGGCATCCATCTCAATGTAGTCGACAAAGTGACCTTCGTTGATGGCAATACAATTGGAACAAACATTACAAGGGTTGCGCGTTAGTCCAACCTCGCAATTGACCGCTTTAGCAAACAGGCGCGAAATGGTCGTTTTACCTACTCCCCTAGAACCCGTGAACAGGTATGCATGATGTAAACGTCCAGCGTCTAGTGCATGCCCTAATGCCCGCACAACGTGCTCTTGTCCAACAAGATCTTGAAAGGTTTGTGGCCGCCATTTGCGTGCCAATACCACGTATTCAGAGGCAACGGCCATGGTGTGTGTTTTGATGTTGTGTAAAGATGGCGAGCCTAGCCCTCGGCACTGTCAGTATATAACTGTGGCTGCTTCGTTCCCGACCTGACCAGGTTGGTTATCCCAACATGCGAGGAGACCCGCCAAGTGCGATTGTAACCGATAAATCAACCTCCGTCTTGGTATTGGAAAAAATATTGCCACAAGCCTGAAAATTTAGGGCATTTCAAAACCTGCAATTTTTATCCCTATTTCAGTCAAACAGCTCATTGACCACTTTGCCTTGCCTTATTCCAATTCTTGATCAATCAAGCCATTTGTCACGCCTACTGGTCTTACGATAGTCCTGTATTTGTCATCGTTTCTCATACATGATGAATCCAAAAATGGAATGAGTGGCATGGAATTCGTGGCCACGACAAAGTAGCCCTTTGATGGAGTATGGGTATAAAACAAAAATTAGTGACCATCCCGCTTGAGATGGTCTAACCACGCTTTTAAATCGGCGAGTACCTGTGGGCGGCGGCTATTGTCTTCATTGAAGATTTCATGATAATAATCGTCGTACCAAAATAAGCGGGTATGTTCGTTACCTTTAAGGGCTTCATAAACATTTTTTGACCCCTGCGCATCGATAATTTCATCGCTACCCGCTACTTGCATCAATGTGGGCATAGTAAATTGGTTGGCATGTTGAACCACCACGTCGTGTGCGGTAAGCATCATCTGAGCTAAACGGGGTGAAATTTTGTCATGGACCATCGGATCAACTCGGTAATCATTGACAACAATGGCATCATGTGACAATTTATCGGCATGTAAACCGTTGCTAACCGTTAAATTCGGGAAAAATTTTAAGCCCAGCTTAAGGGTGATGGCCTCTTTGGTATTCATCCGTACGAGCAAAGCTGGTGAAGACAACATTAA